AGCCCTGTGGGCAGCTTGTTGTCCACAAGGGCAAACCATGGAGGCATCATGCTGAGGAGAGGTTATGGATGTTTGTGGTTTGTCGGGAAAGCGTGACAGGCTGTGTCAGGCGTAATTGTGTGAGGTGCAGTTTCTTTGAATGTCGATGGCTGGCACAAGCTAGCAAGGCTGTTGATGGAGCAAAGTTAAGTGGTTGCTGGCTGCTGGCTGGGCGTAGCTTTGCGGAGCGCGGAAGTTGTGGATGTGTTGGGCACCTTGGCTTCATGGTGTATGTCCACAGTGGTGGCGTCCCAGACGGACTGCGGGCAAGTTGAGTGTTGCTCCTTGCACCGTGCTGGCTCCGTATTCCTGGCTGTTGTTACAAATAGTTTTTGCCGTTGAAGAAAGAACAACAATTTGAGCAGACTTTTGCGTGTTGATGGAGCGAAGTTCAGTGGTTGCTGGTTGCTGGCTGGGCGTAGCTTTGCGGAGAGTGGAAGTTGTGGACGCATGGCTGCGTATCCTCAGCAGCCCACCATGTGTTGGGCACCTTGGCTTCATGGTGTATGTCCACAGTGGTGGCGTCCCAGACGGACTGCGGGCAAGTTGAGTGTTGCTCCTTGCACCGTGCTGGCTCCATATTCCTAGCCCTGTGGGCAGCTTGTTGTAAACAAGGGCAAACCATGGAGGCATCATGCTGAAGAAATTGTGGTTTATGGATGTTTGTGGTTTGTCGGGAAAGCGTGTCAGGCTGTGTCAGGCGTAATTGTGTGAGGTGCAGTTTCTTTGAATGTCGATGGCTGGCACAAGCTAGCAAGGCTGTTGATGGAGCAAAGTTAAGTGGTTGCTGGCAGCTGGCTGGGCGTAGCCTTGCGGAGCGCGGAAGTTGTGGACGCATGGCTGCGTATCCTCAGCAGCCCACCATGTGTTGGGCACCTTGGCTTCATGGTGTATGTCCACAGTGGTGGCGTCCCAGACGGACTGCGGGCAAGTTGAGTGTTGCTCCTTGCACCGTGCTGGCTCCATATTCCTAGCCCTGTGGGTAGCTTGTGGTCCACAAGGGCAAACCATGGAGGCATCATGCCGAAGAGATTGTGGTTTATGGATGTTTGTGGTTTGTCGGGAAAGCGTGTCAGGCTGTGTCAGGCGCAATTGTGTGAGGTGCAGTTTCTTTGAATGTCGATGGCTGGCACAAGCGAGCAAGGCTGCTGTGTGGGTCTGTGATTGGTACATTGTTGCTACTTATGCTTTTGCCGTTGCAGAAAGAACAACAACTTGAGCAGAGATTTGCGTGTTGATGGAGTGAAGTTAAGTGGTTGCTGGCTGCTGGCAGGCGTAGCTTTGCGGAGAGTGGAAGTTGTGAACGCATGGCTGCGTATCCTCAGCAGCCCACCATATGTTGTGCACCTTGGCTTCATGGTGTATGTCCACAGTGGTGGCGTCCCAGACGGACTGCGGGCAAGTTGAGTGTTGCTCCTTGCACCGTGCTGGCTCCGTATTCCTGGCTGTTGTTACAAATAGTTTTTGCCGTTGAAGAAAGAACAACAATTTGAGCAGACTTTTGCGTGTTGATGGAGCGAAGTTCAGTGGTTGCTGGTTGCTGGCTGGGCGTAGCTTTGCGGAGCATGGAAGTTGTGGACGCATGGCTGCGTATCCTCAGCAGCCCACCATGTGTTGGGCACCTTGGCTTCATGGTGTATGTCCACAGTGGTGGCGTCCCAGACGGACTGCAGGCAAGTTGAGTGTTGCTCCTTGCACCGTGCTGGCTCCATATTCCTAGCCCTGTGGGTAGCTTGTTGTCCACAAGGGCAAACCATGGAGGCATCATGCTGAAGAGATTGTGGTTTATGGATGTTTGTGGTTTGTCGGGAAAGCGTGTCAGGCTGTGTCAGGCGTAATTGTGTGAGGTGCAGTTTCTTTGAATGTCGATGGCTGGCAGAAGCTAGCAAGGCTGTTGATGGAGCAAAGTTAAGTGGTTGCTGGCTGCTGGCTGGGCGTAGCTTTGCGGAGCGCGGAAGTTGTGGTCGCATGGCTGCGTATCCTCAGCAGCCCACCATGTGTTGGGCACCTTGGCTTCATGGTGTATGTCCACAGTGGTGGCGTCCCAGACGGACTGCGGGCAAGTTGAGTGTTGCTCCTTGCACCGCGCTGGCTCCATATTCCTAGCCCTGTGGGCAGCTTGTTGTCCACAAGGGCAAACCATGGAGGCATCATGCCGAAGAGATTGTGGTTTATGGATGTTGGCTGGGTTTCGGGAAAGCGTGCCAGGCTGTGTCATGCGTAATTTTGTGAGGTGCAGTTTCTTTGAATGTCGATGGCTGGCACAAGCGAGCAAGGCTGTTGTTTCTTATACATTTGCCGTTGCAGAAAGAACAAAACTTGAGCAGACATTTGGGTGTTGATGGAGCGAAGTTAGGTGGTGGTTGCTGGCTGCTGTCTGGCGTAGCTTTGCGGAGAGTGGAAGTTGTGGACGCATGGCTGCGTATCCTCAGCAGCCCACCATGTGTTGGGCACCTTGGCTTCATGGTGTATGTCCACAGTGGTGGCGTCCCAGACGGACTGCGGGCAAGTTGAGTGTTGCTCCTTGCACCTTGCTGGCTCCATATTCCTAGCCCTGTGGGCAGCTTGTTGTCCACAAGGGCAAACCATGGAGGCATCATGCCGAAGAGATTGTGGTTTATGGATGTTTGTGGTTTCTCGGGAAAGCGCGTCAGGCTGTGTCAGGGGTATTCGTGTGAGGTGCAGTTTCTTTGAATGTTGCCGGCTGGCACGAGAGAGCAAGGCTGCTGTGAGTCTCCGAGAGTTACGTTGTTGTTACCGTCTTTTTGCGCAGCGGAGAACATGTAAAAGGCATCGCAACTTGAGCAGGATTTTCCGTGTTGTTTGAACAATGTGCATCAAATTCTGGTTTCCGGCTGGGTGTAGCTTTGATCATAGAAGTTGTGGACGCATGGCTGCGTATCCTCAGCAGCCCCACCATGTGTTGGGCACCTTGGCTTCATGGTGTATGTCCACAGTGGTGGCGTCCCAGACGGACTGCGGGCAAGTTGAGTGTTGCTCCTTGCACCGCGCTGGCTCCATATTCCTAGCCCTGTGGGCAGCTTGTTGTCCACAAGGGCAAACCATGGAGGCATCATGCCGAAGAGATTGTGGTTTATGGATGTTGGCCGGTTGTTCGGGAAAGCGTGTCAGGCTGTGTCAGGCGCAATTGTGTGAGGTGCAGTTTCTTTGAATGTCGATGGCTGGCAAGAGAGAGCAAGGCTGTGGTTACGTATTCTTTTGCCGTTGAAGAAAGACAATCTGTTTGAGCGGACTTTTCCGTGTTGATGGAGCGAAGTCAAGTGGTTGCTGGCTGCTGGCTGGGAGGAGCTTTGCGGAGCGTGGAAGTTGTGGCCGCATGGCTGCGTATCCTCAGCGGCCCACCATGTGTTGCGCACCTTGGCTTCATGGTGTATGTCCACAGTGGTGGCGTCCCAGACGGACTGCGGGCAAGTTGAGTGTTGCTCCTTGCACCGTGCTGGCTCCATATTCCTAGCCCCTTGTCCACAAGGGCAAACCATGGAGGCATCATGCCGCAGAGATTGTGGTTTATGGATGTTTGTGGTTTTTCGGGAAAGCGTGTCAGGCTGTGTCATGCGTAATTTTGTGAGGTGCAGTTTCTTTGAATGTCGATGGCTGGCACAAGCGAGCAAGGCTGTTGTTTCTTATACATTTGCCGTTGCAGAAAGAACAAAACTTGAGCAGACATTTGCGTGTTCATGAAGCAAAGTTAAGTGGTTGCTGGCTGCTGGCTGGGCGTAGCTTTGCGGAGCTGGAAGTTGTGGACGCATGGTTGCGTATCCCTAGCAGCCCACCATGTGTTGGGCACCTTGGCTTCATGGCGTCCCAGACGGACTGTGGGCAAGTTGAGTGTTGCTCCTTGCACCGTGCTGGCTTCATATTCCTTGCCCTGTGGGCAGCTTGTTGTCAAGGGCAAACCATGGAGGCATCATGCCGCAGAGATTGTGGTGTATGGATGTTTGTGGTTTTTCGGGGAAAGTGTGTCCGGCTGTGCCAGGCGTATTTTTGTGAGGCGCAGTTTCTTTGAATGTCGATGGCTGGCACGAGAGGGCAAGGTTGCTGTGTGGGTCTTCGAAAGGTATGTTGTTGCTACTTATGCGTTTGCCGTTGCAGAAACAACAACACTTGAGCAGACATTTGCCTGTTGATGGAGCGAGGTTAAGCGGTGGCTGGCTGCTGGCTGGGCGTAGCTTTGCGGAGCGTGGAAGTTGTGGACGCATGGCTGCGTATCCTCAGCAGCCCACCATGTGTTGGGAATCTTGGCTTCATGGTGTATGTGCACAGTGGCGGCGTCTCAGACGGACTGCGGGCAAGTTGAGTGTTGCTCCTTGCACCGTGTGGTTCATGGACGTTTTTGGTCCTTGGGGGAGGCGTGTTCAGGGGTAGTTTTGCAGCGACCGTTAGAGCGAAGCTGCTGTGTGAGTCATGTTGTGTGGCTACAGACTGTCGAAGGAGCAGGCTGCTGAGAATACGCCAAGCCCTGCTCAAGTTGTGACTTTTGCGTTTGCCACTCAACGGCCAAAGCCAAAAGTGACAACAACCAAACTCTTGCATCATGCTTTCTGTCTGCCTTTTCAGCGGCGCTTGAGGCGCGGGGGCGCAGGGATGCCGACAGGCGCGGTTGATAGACTGGAGAGTCGGGTTAGTTCAAGCAGACCAGGCGGCTTGACTACAACTTTGGGAGCCACAGCTACCTTTCGCCCCCTTGGTGTGTGGTGTTATGGTCTTGGGGTTGTGTTAATTAGGGGTGTTTAGGTGACTTAACGGAGGCGCATGCCGGCGGGTTAGCAGATCTCCCAGCTCACCCCATGGCAGAAGAGGATTTCTTGAGTGATCAAGCACCCACAGTCCATGGTCAGTATCGCAAGGGGAGCGGTGACCTCTTTCCATGGAAGATGGACCTCGTTGAGGCCTTGTACAGTGCGTAAAAGGCCAACCTTGTCAGGGCAATTGTAGCTCTCATGGACGGCTTCGATGCCTCGCTCGGGACCCAAGATGCAAGAGCCGCAGGGTTTATTGATACCCGCCATGCAATCGATATTCACATCCACCATTTGCTTGCAGTTGACAGCTCGAATGCTTCCAATGGCGCATTCAACGATCATCTCTCGGCCAGGTTGGTGTGCCCGTTTTTGTTTTTTTGAAGCCACGCGTGAGTATGTCCAGAATATTTTTGTTTGAAGGTATTTGTGGTGTGTTCACCAGGCCTGGCGCGGTGGATCGCTTCGGGATTTTGATGCCAAACTCAAACGGGCCAAGCTCATTAACCATGGTTGGTGGACACGCATCCCTAAATTTGATGTCCACCAGAGGGTCCCTCATCAAAAAATCACAGCCACACGGACTCAAAAAGAGCCCCTTCGCTGAAAACTCTGCGTCCTGAGACCCCAGCCGTTTCATCAGGGGTTCCGATGCACCGTAGGCTGCGGATGCCATGTAGTGAAAGATGTCCAGGCGCTGGCACATATATATATATATACATAGATACAAATACATCTACAGCCACATGGGCCATATATGTATATACTGATGTATACATGCGTGTGTAGCTATACATATGTATATATATATATATGGTACCCCCCCCCATGGACCCCGGTTGGTGAGCTTAAGCAGTGTTTTTTTCTTTTGCGGTGTTTTGTGTCTTTTTTTGCCTCGTTAATTTGGTGGCAAAATTGGGGAGGGGCATGTGTATATATGCATGTGTCCATACATATGTAATGTAAGCAAAGATATCAACATCTGCCATTTGACAGAGTCTGCATCCACCTCAGACATCCTTTTTTGTTTTTGTTGTAACAATTCTTGGATTCAAGATTCAAGATTCAAGACTCTGAGAGAATTATTTTTGGGAATCTTGAATCTAGAATCCCATTTTTTGATTAAAGATTCAAGATTCGAGAATCTGAGAAAGATCTTTTTGGGAATCTTGAATCTTGACTCTTGAACCCGTTGTTTTGTTGTTTTGTTTTTTTTAATCCCCTTTTTTTCAAATCCAGGGTTTTTATTGAATCCCAGAGCTGCAGATCTGCGCCGAGGCTGCGGCAGATGGCCGAGGAGGACCGGAGCCGGCTGCACCGGCGCCGCGGAGCCCGGGGGCGAATCGGGCTCGGGCGAATCGGCGGGTTTTTGGTGGTTGATAGACAAAGATACAGAGAGGTAGACAGAGAGAGAGAGAGAGAGATAGATAGATAGATAGATAGGTAGGTAGATAGATAGGTAGGTAGATAGATAGATAGATAGACGGATAGAATAGGATAGAATAGGATAGGATAGGATAGGATAGATGGATTAAACTAGACACGATAGATGGACACCGCCGGGTTTGTGGTGGCTTGAACAAGAAAGTTTTTGGGCTCCGAATCCAAATTTCACCAATTGGAGGGAAGCCGACAGAAGGGGTTCCCTCAGCTTTTTATGTCACGGTGCAGATAGTACTCGGCAAAGATCTGGCCGTGGCTCGGAAAACCGGAGCTCCAAAATGGGTTGCCCGATCGGTAAGTGGAGACATGGCTTGCCCAAACCCTGCGGAGCCAGCCCCTCCGTTTTCATTTTGTGGCTTGAACAAGAAAACGCCTTGGGCTCCGAATCCAAATTTCACCAATTGGAGGGAAGCTGACAGAAAAAAATCCCTCAGCCCCTTCTGTCACGGTGCAGGTAGTACTCGTCGGCAAAGATCTGGCCGTGGCTCAGAAAACCGGAGCTCCAAAATTTGGGTTGCAAAAGATCGGAATTTTGAGCCACAGCCATATGTCAGTGAGGAAAGGAAGCCCGGTTGACAGAGGTAGTCGGTTTCTAAAGTGTTGAACGGGCATGGCAGCTCTGTTAGTGAATGGGAAGACATGATCTTGGGGCTGATGGCTGGGCGCGATTTTGAGGGATCCATCTAACACCTGCATATACCCACGCCCAAAGCTCTTGCCATGATTGCAGATTACTGGACACGCATGTGGGAAGTTTTCTCGTGTGCTTTTTGGTGAACTGGGTTGCCTTGTGTCCTATTTGGGTCTTTCCCATTGGCTCGCTGAGCGACGCGGGGACCGGAACGGCACAAGAGGCATGGACCGCGCCGTGTCCACTTCCCTCACGCCCGGGGCCACAGGCATGCGAAGCCGGATGGACATGCGGACGGTCCATGTCCCTTGCCTGGCCAAAGCGTTGCATGATGGTACCCTCGGATCAGTTAACATGGAACCTGACAGGGGGTCCCTTTAAAAGGAACATGGTCTACCAGGACTGCCCCGTCAGGTTCCATGTCAATTGGTGGGAGAGTAAGAGGGATAGGAAGTCGCAGCTTGCTTCAAGGGCAACAGCACAATGTTAGAAGGACACTTTGGTTCTGAGAACGGGGGAAGTGGAGTAAGCGCCAAGCTGGGAATTTCCGGAAGCCAGCTCAGTGGAGTTTGCCAACTGACGTCGGACCTCCGGCCGGAGGCCCATTGTGCTGGGCCGCATGTTGTCGCATCTTCCTGCGGAGGAGGCCCAAAGTTGGAGGAGGAAGGGGGAAGAACGTGCGAAGGGACATGGGGTATGGGTGGATGAAACCAGGAAAGGGACCGCAGGTCTTAGTCGATGTTTCAATTTGCCAGGGCAACCCATGTTGGCATGTTGGGGTTACCAGGTGTTCTGACTCACACCCACATGACAAAAATGAAGAGCAGGCGCCGGAGGATATGAACTTCCGTCCCATGTCTTGAAATTCATCGGAATCGATATGACCTGCATGCATCTTGGATGTACAGTCGATGTTCATGTGGAGAAACATGATGTTCTTAGTTGCCGTATGCTTTTTGTGTTTTCTTGTTCTGCTTCCCTAGTTGATCTTCAGCGAATCAGTAGCAAAGGGATTCCTCTCTCCGTGTCTAAGCTTTGGTGAAGCGTTTTGTCGTCCGGCATGCTTTTGGCCTTGGAGAAGGGTGGAACGATGTGTCGCCACGAGTTGTGTACCTTTGGATTGTGTCCAAGTAGAAGCGCGTTGTGGCAAACCAACAGGAGAAGCGCAGAGGTGGCAAGCAGCCAACCATCGTGAAACCTGTGAACATGTGCAGCCCTTTGCAGAGTCACCTTTTCCGTGTAACCTCTGATTCGCCCAAGAGCAACAGCTGGGATGGGCATCAGACAGCAGTGGTGAGGTGAAAGCCATTGAGCAGTGGGTGGTGGATGAGGGTGTGGGGCTCCCAAGCAAGCCATTGCTGGCTTTTGAGGCGGAAGGGTCTGCTACTGTGGATGGACGAAATCCTGCACCACCTAAGAAACCCTGGTTTCTGATGATTCCCCGTAGATACGGATCCTTGTACCCTCTCACCAATTAATAGGGAACCTGACAGGGGGGGGGTCCTGGAAGACCATTTTCCTTTCAAATGGACCCCCTGTTGCATGTGAATTGGTGGGAGGGCAAAGCCAAGCATCTTACTACATCTTGCAAGGAGCTCTGATGGTATACGGTCATGACCCCAAAATCACACGGCAAATCACTGGATGCCGGCTGGTGTTGCAGGGCACCCCTCCTTGCAATACCGTGAAGAGAGTGATCCTTCGGGCTCCGGTCATCCGCGAAACCTGGAAAAGTTAGATCTTCTATTTTTTCCCCGGCATTTGTTTTCTCCGGCAAACAAAGGGGCGCAAAAGGGCACTCAACCAGTTGACTTTTTCCTAAACGCCTGTCAGACTCTCCGGTTTGCCCTTGCTCGACCACAGCGATTCCCGCGGTTGGTTGGTCGGTCGGCCGGCCGGTCGGTCGATCGATCAGTCGGTGGGTCGGTCGCTCGGTCGGTTGGTCGTATCTTTGGTGCATTCTGCTTGGATCTTAGGACTTCAACTTTTTGCCAACTACTGGGTTTTCCGTATTAAACCAGTAAAAGTTAGCCACTGTTAGCAGGCGAGCAGAAAGCCACCGAGCTATGGCTGGCTGTCTCGTTGGTCTTGATCCGAGGCCTTGCCCGCCTCCGCCGCACGACGGCTCTTTGGCGCCCTGGCGGGCGCGCAGCAGGCGCGGATCCCGAAGAGTGAGCCCGGAGGGAGGAGGTGCCAACAGCTCTCCAGGCGAGTGACGTGCAAAGAGAGCATCACTTGAGCCACTGGCTCAAAACCGATTCGGGTAGATGAAGGTTAGTACGGGACAACCCCAACTATAACTAGCTGCAGATATCCACCTTCTCAATTCTTTACATGGTGCTGGGTAGAACATTTTATTACCGTTGTGACTCACTTGGATTGATAACTGGGGGTTTTGTGACTCAGGCACCAACAGAACCTCTGAGTATTTGCGATGCGGAACCGCCATTGCTGCCCAGTTCAAGTTTTATTGATGTGATTGATGTGAGTAGCCAGGTTTGGCCAAGTGCAAGCATGCCATTTGCGTCGGGCTGTAGGCAATCAAGGTGATATGCCTGTGACAAAAATGTGTAATGGGGGAAAGATGCCCAGTAGTTGCAAGTCTTGGTCACAGAATGCTGTGTTTGCACTAGGTGTTGCCTGAAGACCCAAGGCATCTCTAGATCTACCTGGCTTCGGGGCTTCCTTTCGGCTTTCTTCCTTGAAGCCTGCCTTGCGGCCAGTTTTGACTCAAACTTCATGGCCCCTCTGCCCTGCGCAGGCTGGCGGCTTCCTGCAAGATGCCACTGCGGCCGCAGGGAGTTTGGCAGGGCGACATCAGGGCGACATCAGGGCGCTGTCGCGTCAGAAGGGTTCTGACTCCCGAAGCCCGCCTGGGGATTTTGACTCTCGTTTGCTTGGCGGCTTTGTTTACATTTGCAGACTGGTTTCCCTGATACCACGTGCATTTGATCTTGCTGGGCTATCCTGAGCACCTGGGGGCTGTCAACTTTCCTCCGCCCGCTGCGGCAACTTCTACTTAACATACTCTCAACCCCGCCAGACCTGGGGAACCGATTTTCTGCACCTCACAGCCGTGTCCCTCCAAGCGGATGGTCTCTTTTTTTTTTGGGGGGGGTCTTTCAGGTTTTCAAAGGCGCTTTTGCTGGCTAAGAGGTCACTAAGAGATCATGTGAAAGGAACAAACCAGAAAAAACCAACAAAAACAAAAAAAAACAACCTCGGCATGGTCTTTGGTGCTGCCGGGCTCACTAAGGTGACGTAGGAACAAAACCACCCCTCGAGGCCGTGGACGGGGTGCGCCTGGGCGCCGAGGAGCTGTGGGCCTGGGTGCCCAGCGCTTCGGGCGCTTCGGGCGCGGTGGGCCGTCCAGAGAAACTTCGCAAGGGGTCGGCCAAAGACCCGCAAAAAACGAAGAAAGTCCTTACAAGCTAAACACAAGCGTGGGTTCTTTTTCTCCATTTTTGCGGGCGAAAGGGAAACTCATCTCAATTTGTTTTGGGTCTTCCGAGGACCCGCAAAAACAGGGCCCTTCTTGATTTTGACCTTGGCTCCAAATGGAAATTCGGCCAAAGGCCTGCTTTTCCAGGGTCCTGGAAGATCAAGGTTCCATTTGCTGAAATGAATATTTTATATATTCCCCTGTTGGTTTTAAAGGGAACCTATCACTATTCATTTTTTCCAGTGGGCTTAATGGAAGGAAAGGGGGAATGGGTTCTTATACCCGTATGGGTGTCCTTCGTTTCCGGGGACGCACCAAGGCCACAGCTGAAAGGGGTCTGTTCTTGTACACAGATGGGCGGCCCGTCCTTTTTTTGGGGGCCCTTGTCGGATGGTTTTGAAGGGACACCAACAAACCATCATGCATTTTCAGGGTTCCCCTGTTTTGAGACAAACCCACGGCCGGGAAAGGTCTGCTTTTGTTGATTGATACTTCCTCATTTGATATGATTGGCGAGGTGCGATCAAACTTTTTCTCCAAAGATGTGTCGAGGACGGGTTTCCTTTTTTTAATGGAATACCCCCTGTCCACCTCCATGCAACATTTTCTGCCTGACCATGTTTTCTCCTAGCGCAATCAGCGGCTGTGCCCAGGTGAGACTGTCTGAGGAGTTTGCGAGCAGGAGGGACATCGGAGCGGGTGAGACGTTGCTTCGGCCCGCTGCAGGTGGTCGGCTTTTAGTTCGTTGCCTTTCAACACAAAAGACGATCAGAGCTCGGGGCGCCTTTTCCTTCCAGCTGACTCTCACCAGAAAGAGGTCCGGTGCCAATGAGGTTTTCGAAAGTGCCCATGGTTTCTCTTCAGGAGGTGTGCTGGGGGTTCAGCCATCATCATGCGAGGTGACTTGGTCATTTGCAACGCCAGGAAACAGATATACACAAACCCAGGCCCGGTCATCCCTGTTTGCTGTTTGGCATGCATTTCCATGGCAGCAACCATTTGTCCCTCGGACTTCCTAGAACATCAGGGACCACCATTCGCATGCGCAGTTTGTGCATCATTCGTGGCAGTTCCCGTGGCTCACCTGCTTGCAATTAGCGACTTTGGCATGTGCAGGGAGCCACAGACTTGTGACATGGCAAAGACATTGGAGGCCTTCGCGGTTTTTGTGGAATTTTCTGGGACCCGTGTCGTTGGCACAGGCCGGAAGAGATCAACGGCTCCTGGGCGAACTGGCTGCAAGGCAACTCTGCTCTGGATCCGGATGTCGGCCTGGTGGTGCTAGTGACTAATGTTGACCCCAGATTAATCAACCCCAGTTTACTAATAGGGGGGTGTCCCCGGGTTTAGTGGGCTAATGTTGACCCCGGACCCAAAGAACCCTTGTCTATGAATATGGGACTGTTCCCCTGGTTTGTTATTCCCGGAAGGGGATCCAACTCAGAATTCCAGCAAGAACGTGTGAAGTTTCTCCACGCAAGTTCTTTGAATCAGAGCAGATGTCGAGATTGCCAAACAGATTGGGTGGTCTTGAAGCCATTTGGAGCGGGCCCAAAGCTAGGTCGGGGTGCGCATGAGCAAGTCTCTCACTCGCTGTCTCTGGGCCAAGGAAGCTCCCAAGATGCCCGACACACCTTTTCAAGGACGTGCCCGATTTTAGGAAAGCGAGCATGGGCTTCTCATAGACATATTTTGTTTTCGAGACGTGTTTGGCATGCAGCGCTTTGCAAAGTGCGTCGAGTGCAGCTTCGAGGGTTTTTTTGCCTCAGAAGGATTACCAGGAAGCATCATTCAAGGACAAATCAGGTAGCCTTTGTTGGTTGATTCGTGGTCTGGGTTTGAAGCCCTGGTTCTGGAGAGTAAATGGGACATCACCCCATTTGCACCACCAAGCCACCGATTCGGCAAACCAAACCAATTGCAGGCCTCTCTCTTAGCCAGGCCGGCCTCCGTCTCCCAGCCAGGGCCTTTGTACTGGTAAGGCTGCGCTGGCGCCTCGAAGGCGGTGGATAGCCACTTGAGTGCCACGTTTTCATTTGTTTGCTGCCAGTTTGCTGGTCAAATAGGTCTTGTGTGGACGGCTGAACAGCGGGAGCCAGGACGAACATATTCAGGCAGTGGGTTTGTGGAGTTCTCGGTGCCTTAATTTGATTGGCGCAAGCAATCTGCAGGTCCTTGCAGGTTGGCCCTTTGAAACGTTTGGGGTTTGCAGGGAGCTGACTGAACCCATTCAGTCTCGCAAAGACCACAGGGAGCTAGGTGGAATTTACACTACGGCAGCTATGAACGGAGCACGCTTGCCAAAGAGCCTTTGGGCCATTGCTTTGCATTCGCGACATCCAACGCGCGCGCGCGTTCGCGCGGTCCGTTCGCGGGCCGCGGGCCCTGAGGCGCCCAGTCCGTGGCAGGTGACTTGGATGAGGCGGTGGGTTTTTTGCATTTGGGCGGGGGGTTCCCCCGAAAACTCCAAACACTTTCAGGGCAAGGGGTTGCCAGTTGGTGTCTGAGTAGCCAAAGACGTTCAGGGCAAGGGGTTGCTTCTCTTGGTGTCTGAGACGCCAAAAACTTTCGGGGCAAGGATCCTAAAATGGGAGCCGTGCCCCATTGCCTGTGAGGGAGGTTTTGCCAAGTCACAGTCACGGCCTCGTGACCCTACGTGGGGAGGCAGGGAGGCTGATCACTCGATGGGTTTTACATCACCGTGGTTGTACGACACTGGAGTGAGTGATATATACATATATCATATCCTTCTGTTTAAGAACCCAACCGCCCACCAATCTTCCCCCCGAAGGTACCCAGGTACATGCAGGTACATGTCCTTAGGGAGGATTGAATCAATGAAGGTGTGTCAGTTTTTTTCTTGATGGGGGGGGGGGTTGCTAAAGTCACGTACCAGCATTCGCACGGTTTTGAGGTTCACCACGGGACGGCTTGAGCGGTCCCGGTCCCGGTGGTACCTGGGGGGATTTGAACCCGCCCAACTTGGGTGGTGCGACCAGATCTGGCCCGAAGTTGGTCCAAAAAACGACGACGCTATAGCCCAAAGTTGGCGAGATTGCGAGGCAAGAACAGGGGCGAATGGTTTTACCTTCGTGCTTGCGAGCGATGGCCCTCTGGCCACCTGCCTGGGCACCTAAAAGGCCAGAGGTCCAGGCCGAGTGCGGGTTGGTCGTGTCTTGTTTGGAGGCTCCGGGTTTTTGGTGGGACACTAGAATGTGATCAACCAAGTAGTAAGATCAAGTTGAAATCCAAGTTTGGGATTAGAGTTTTCGATGAACACCACTGACTCTCTGACTCGCTGACTCACTGACTCACTGACTCACTTATTCACTCACTCACTGACTCACTGGGTTCGGATAGTTTGCGGGATTCGAGTTTTCTTCATCAACCCAAACAAGAAGTCCCGGTTTTGGAATCCCTCAGCGACTCACACCCCGCCCGCGCGTGCCACGCGTGCCACGCGCTCGTTGCCCTGGAGGACGACGCGGTGTCGGTGGTCTCCATGGGCCGGCGCCGTACGGTTTCGGCGCTGGCCAAGGCGGCGGCGAAAGCGGGGCGCCCGTGGGGTGGGGGGGGGTGGGGTGGGTGGGGTGGGAGCGACATGAAATAACTTGCTGGTGCGATAGGTGGGGAATGACCCAGGGTGTTGGGAACGAACCTAGGGATTCCCCTAAAGAAAGGCCACCAGTTGGATGGTTCTTCTCAGGGTCATTCCGGCTCATTCCCTGATCGACCCGTTTTTCTCGGGTCATTCCAACTCATTCCCTACAACCTCCGGGGGAGGTCCCCCAGCGGATCCATAGGCCCCTGCGCCCCGGATGTCGCTGGGCCCGCAGCCCGGGCCCAAGTTTTATTTTTTCTTCTTTTTTCCGCCTCGACAGCTTTTTGAGGAAACCTCTTTGCATGAAGCGACAGCTTTTTGAGGAAACCTCTTTGCATGAAGCCCACTTTTTTTCTTCTCCAACCACGGAGAAGCCCGGGAAGAACATTCCCAACCTCGGAGAAACCTTTCTTTTCTCTGGCTTTTCCCCTCACAGTGTTCACATCCTCTGTCGTTGAAAAGCTGATTTTGGGTGATTTCGGGCTAAGAAATGAGAAGCACAGATGATCAGGTAACCCCTGGCAGTGGTGGTTTGCAGTGGTGGTTTGGATTTGAACCCCTGGCTTTTGTAGAGGGAAACTGGGTTCCGCTGAGATGAGACGTGGCGAAAGCCCACCTGCCCAATGCCCTCCCACCCGAAACCGCCTTCCGACAGAAGATGCTTCTGGGAAACGCGGCTCCACATTTGGTGAGATGATACCTTGCCTTGGTCATAAGCTGCGCATGTCGTTTGGCTAAGGCTTGGGGGCGGATATCCATCGCTGGCGGGGCACCCAAGAGGGCGACGGCCGCTGTGCAGGAGAGTGCAGTTAGAATCATTGCACCTTTCCCTTCAGTTGTTCCATCCTTCAAACAAAGGCATCATACTGTTCAACTCCAAACAAACAAAATACTGCAGCCGTGGAACTGTAACTTGTCTGAAACAGTTGCACGCAGGGAAGTCTGAGGGAAGTGTTCCGCGAGTCAGCGCCCTCTCCTTGACTCAGTGCCACTGTGCCTGTTTGCTTTTGGCCTGCTACAATCACACCGCCAAAACTTTTATAGGGCCGTGAACGGCGACGTCACCTTGCGGAGAGATCTAAAAAGGGGTAGCCTCAAAAGGACAGACATCTTCAAGTGGTAGACCTTCAGGGGTTGCGGGCGGTTCGGCTCCCACCAAAAACCATGGACCCTGAGGTTCTTTTGCGTCCTGGTTTGGACCATTTTCCTTTTAAAGGGACCCCCCGTTTTACGTCAGATGCCGGCGGTTAATTTTGATGTTAGCCCAAGGGTTCCACCTAAGGAGTTTCGACTGAGCCGCCAGGCGAAGCAGGGGCCGAAGCGCAACTCCTGCAGATTGGCCGCAGAGCATGGTCGGCTGGGCTGCGCGCAGTTGCCAGCAGTGTGGATTCTTTGAAAATCAAAGGAAAGCCATGAACTATTGATGCAAATAAAGGATATCAGCCATGAGCTGTTGAACAATAGGTTGCGCTTCTTGCTGTGAGAACTGTTCCTGAAGCGCGTCTCTTACATTCGATCCTTCTCATTTGCAAGCGTCCGGTGGCCCAAGAGGCTTGAAGCCGCCTAAACCCTCAAGGCCGGGGGTTTACCAATGTGTCGAATAGCCTGGAGGTATCTCGTGTGAAAGGTATCTGAAATGTGTGTCCTTTTTTTTTTCTAGGACCCCCTCAAAATGGTGGTGTTCCTGTGGTCTTCAGGAAAACACAAACACAAAGAATTGGTAGCCTGAAAAAGACACCCAACTGGTGTATCTGCTTTTGTTGTCGCTTTTCACCTGCCTGACCTTATTCTCTACATTGCATTGAAACTCTTGCTACGTTCCAGATGTGGAGCCATGTGAGGTTTGATGTGTGTCTCCTGTGTATCCTTTCTCTATTGCGTTCCAGTTCTTGAGGTGTTTCCTCAGCAAGGGCCCGGTCAGAAGACTTCGGAGTTTGTCTTCGGCAGAAGGCATTTTGGTTGAATCAAGTACCAACAGCCCCAATGTGGAAATTCCTCACAGTCCCCCAATCGTTGGCAACGGCCAAGCAGCTCTCGTTTCCTCTCAAAATGACTGATGCCATTTTTGTCGAGGGTACTTTTTTTTGGGGATTGTCAAAATGACTGATGCCATTTTTGTCGAGGGTACTCTTTTTTGGGGGATTCTCAAAATGACTGATGCCATTTTTGTCGAGGGTACTCTTTTTTTGGGGATCTCAAGCAGGCTTTCCTCCACTTCCCTTTTTGGAACCCTGAAAAGTGGCCACCAGCAAAAGTCGGAAAAAAAAAACCTTTCGAAGGGGAGAGCCTGTGACCCCGCTGAGGGATCCGGATCTTCCCTTCCCGGGGTCCGGGCATCCCCCACTGAGGTCAGCTCCACTGCCCGGCGGCGCTCTTCCTTTTCACCCAGCCAGGCGCAACGGACCGATGTTTTTTTGGGAGGTGCTGAGAAAAGAAGCACCACATGAACCTGATGAGAAGGTCCAGAGTTTTTGGAGGACATGACTTGTGAAACCACAACCAAATGCAAAGTGGCCGGAGCTTGACAACAAGCGGCTAGAGCTTGACTTTGTTTTTTTTGGTGTGTGTGTGTGTTTATGTGTGGGTGTAGGCCTGATTCTCTGGCACCCTTGGTTTTGCCCTGGCATCTGCGAAGGGGGCTGACCGTTGGAATTTTGCATATGGAAGCTTGGAAAGGGGCGTTCCGTGTTTGCCGGGTGACGCATTCGCATTGCCGGGTTTTTCTGTTCCTTCCCTTCCAAAAGGCGCGGCCGGCGGCCGCTTCCCTTGAACCCCGGAATGACAAATTGCAAGCCCCAAGATCTCCGCGCCCGGACGAGGCCGTGATAAACCAGCGCGTGCTCTTTGGCAGCCATGGGGCCCATGGGGGCCCGGGGGGGCGGAGATCGGAGATCGTGCCATGGCCATCGAAGTGGTGGCGGACCTCTCCGCGCTGTCCCAGTGGGCCAGTGAGGCCCAGATCGCCTCCGGGGCTTTGGAGCCCCGCCGGAGCCGCAGCGGCACCAAGGCGCGGGTGGAACGGGAACGGACGGTCGGAACGGCAGCGGGGTGCGGGGTGCGGTGGGTGACGCGTGGCCTGACGACAGTACCGGGGAGCAGGGGTCTTATTGCTTGATTTTGGGAAAGGACGCCCTGAACTTTGCGCTGGATTGGAAATGGTCCGGGTTTATTGCTTGATTTTGGGAAAGGACGCACTGAACTGCGCTGGATTGGAATTGGTCCGGGTTTATTGCTTGATTTTGGGAAAGGACGCACTGAACTTTGCGCTGGATTGGACATGATCCGGGTTTATTGCTTGATTTTGGGAAAGGACGCACTGAACTTTGCGCTGGATTGGACATGATCCGGGTTTATTGCTTGATTTTGGAAAGGACGCACTGAACTTTGTGCTGGATTGGACATGATCCGGGTTTATTGCTTGATTTTGGGAAAGGACGCCCTGAACTTTGCGCCGGATTGGAAATGATCCGGGTTTATTGCTTGTTTTTGAGGACGCACTGAACTTTGCGCTGGATTGGAAATGATCCGGGTTTATTGCTTGATTTTGGGAAAGGACGCCCTGAACTTTGCGCTGGATTGGACATGATCCGGGTTTATTGCTTGATTTTGGGAAAGGACGCCCTGAGCTTTGCGCTGGATTGGAAGTGATCCGGGTTTATTGCTTGATTTTGGGAAAGGACGCACTGAACCTTGCGCTGGATTGGAAATGATCCGGGTTTATTGCTTGATTTTGGGAAAGGACGTACTGAACTTTGCGCTGGATTGGAAATGATCCGGGTTTATTGCTTGATTTTGGGAAAGGACGCCCTGAACTTTTCGCTGGATTGGAAATGATCCGGGTTTATTGCTTGATTTTGGGAAAGGACGCCCTGAGCTTTGCGCTGGATCGGAAATGATCCGGGTTTATTGCTTGATTTTGGGAAAGGACGCACTGAACTTTGCGCTGGATTGGACATGATCCGGGTTTATTGCTTGATTTTGGGAAAGCACGCCCTGAACTTTGCGCTGGATTGGAGATGATCCGGGTTTATTGCTTGATTTTGGGAAAGGACGCACTGAACTTTGCGCTGGATTGGAAATGATCCGGGTTTATTGCTTGATTTTGGGAAAGGACGCACTGAACTTTGCGCTGGATTGGACATGATCCGGGTTTATTGCTTGATTTTGGGAAAGCACGCCCTGAACTTTGCGCTGGATTGGAGATGATCCGGGTTTATTGCTTGATTTTGGGAAAGGACGCACTGAACTTTGCGCTGGATTGGACATGATCCGGGTTTATTGCTTGAATTTGGGAAAGGACGCACTGAACTTTGCGCTGGATCGGAAATGATCCGGGTTTATTGCTTGATTTTGGGAAAGACGCCCTGAACTTTGTTTGATCGAAATGATCCGGTTTATTGCTTGATTTTGGGACAGGACGCACTGAACTTTGCGCTGGATTGGAAATGATCCGGGTTTATTGCTTGATTTTGGGAAAGGACGCACTGAACTTTGCGCTGGATTGGAAATGATCCGGGTTTATTGCTTGATTTTGGGAAAGGACGCCCTGAGCTTTGCGCTGGATTGGACATGATCCGGGTTTATTGCTTGATTTTGGGAAAGGACGAAATGATCCGGGTTTATTGCTTGATTTTGGGAAAGGACGCACTGAGCTTTGCGCTGGATTGGAAATGATCCGGGGTTATTGCTTGATTTTGGGAAAGGACGCACTCAACTTTGCGCTGGATTGGAAATGATCCGGGTTTATTGCTTGATTTTGGGAAAGGGCGCCCTGAGCTTTGCGCTGGATTGGACATGACTGAACTTTGCGCTTGATTTTGGGAAAGGACGCACTGAGCTTTGCGCTTGATTGGACATGATCCGGGTTTATTGCTTGATTTTGGGAAAGGACGCACTGAACTTTGCGCTTGATTTTGGGAAAGGACGCACTGAGCTTTGCGCTGGATTGGACATGATCCGGGTTTATTGCTTGATTTTGGGAAAGGACGCACTGAACTTTGCGCTTGATTTTGGGAAAGGACGCCCTGAGCTTTGCGCTGGATTGGAATGATCCGGGTTTATTGCTTGATTTTGGGAAAGGACGCACTGAACTTTGCGCTGATTTTGGAAAGGACGCTGAGCTTTGCGCTGGATTGGACATGATCCGGGTTTATTGTTTGATTTTGGAAAGGACGACTGAACTTTGCGCTTGATTTTGGGAAAGGACGCCTGAGCTTTGCGCTGGATTGGACATGATCCGGGTTTATTGCTTGATTTTGGGAAAGGACGCACTGAACTTTGCGCTTGATTTTGGGAAAGGACGCACTGAGCTTTGCGCTGGATTGGACATGATCCGGGTTTATTGCTTGATTTTGGGAAAGGACGCACTGAACTTTGCGCTTGATTTTGGGAAAGGACGCACTGAGCTTTGCGCTGGATTGGACATGATCCGGGTTTATTGCTTGATTTTGGGAAAGGACGCACTGAACTTTGCGCTTGATTTTGGGAAAGGACGCCCTGAGCTTTGCGCTGGATTGGACATGATCCGGGTTTATTGCTTGATTTTGGGAAAGGACGCACTGAACTTTGCGCTTGATTTTGGGAAAGGACGCCCTGAGCTTTGCGCTGGATTGGACATGATCCGGGTTTATTGCTTGATTTTGGGAAAGGACGCACTGAACTTTGCGCTTGATTTTGGGAAAGGACGCCCTGAGCTTTGCGCTGGATTGGACATAATCCGGGTTTATTGCTTGATTTTGGGAAAGGACGCACTGATCTTTGCGCTTGATTTTGGGAAAGGGCGCCCTGAGCTTTGCGCTGGATTGGAAATGACCCGGGTTTACTGCTTGATTTTGGGAAAGGGCGCCCTGAGCTTTGCGCTGGATTGGACATCGCCGAACTCGCGCCTGGTGACAAAGGGCTGGGTCGGGTCTTCCGATTTTTGGTTGGGGGGCATTGCACACGCCGAGCGCCAGGAGAATGTCCCTCGCGGCTCCAAGGAGCCGGGGGAGGGGAGCCGGAATGGCCCAGACCCGCAATTTCAGGGACCCAGGTACCCCGTTTTTTTCTTTTTTTTTTCCTTTTTTGTTTTCTCCTTTTTTTTCCAGGAAGCAAATCGCCCTGCTGGTGAGTTGGCGGGTGTTTTTTTTTTTGGGCACAGGTCACCTGGCTGCTCCGCGCGTTGGGAAGCGGATTTGGAACCCGCATGCCCCACCCATAAACAAGAAATAGATGATTGATGGGATTTCTCTTTGGTTTTTCTTATGTCCCATTTTTAATCTTTTTATAATTGCTTTTTTGCTTTTCTGGTTTGTTTGTTGATGAGATTTCCAAATGATACAAATAAGACTAGAAATTAATACAACCAAGAATTACTGTAAAGAAGATAAACAGATAGGATGTTAATATAAAAAGTTGATTCATGAGATTACTTCGTCAACAATATTAACTTCTAATAAACAAACAAAAAGACAAATAAACAAAATAACATAATAAACTAGAAATAATATAAGTCTAGACTTTAATGGATTTGTGGTTATCGTTCTTCTCTTATTTGCTTTTCTTTATTGTTGGAACTCATCTTAAAAGCAACCAACAATAAGATAAGAAGAAGTGATACTGCAAATAAACGAAACCCATTTCGCACCACCTAAGAATGATGATTCCCCTGTAAATACCAACAAAGGTTTCCCATGGTTTCAACTGTGGTGCAAGAGTTCGTCCATCCACACTATGTCCATTTCTGCTATGAAACGACTTCCAACCAACCACAGCAGGATTATCGGATTGATGCCGCACAATTCCTATGTTGCCTTGCTTAAAGGGATCAGAATTCTCCACACCGGCCCGGTCGCATCCCATGTTTCGGACCCGTCTGAGGAGGTGCCCTCGGTGCGCGGGCGCACCAGTGTGGCCCGGAGCTCCACATGCTCGCGGCTCACGCGGCTCGAAATCGGGCAACTCAAATTCAGGGCTCCTTGAAAGATACATTTTGCAACCAATTGAAACATGGCTTTTTCCACCAAAGTAAAGGGACACCACCAGAAAACAAGATACATTTGGCTGCGGCTCAAAATTAAACAGCTGGGTTACGTGTTGTTTTTTCTCTTTTTGTTTCCATGCTTCTACTTACCAGGGTTCCGGTTTTGGTACCGTTTTTTTGAGCCACAGCCATTTTGCAACCATTTGAACCATGTTGCCTTTTCAACACCAAAATACAGGGAAACCACTTTTTACAAGTTGCAATGTTCAGGTGTATAATGTAAGGATCCCTGTCAAAGGGGGTCTGATTTGGGCCCGGATTGTAGTCGCAAAAGGCCTCTATTGGAATTGGGGGGCCTTGGCGGGCCTTGACGTGGATCGATGTCCTGCTTTGCGTTTTTGTGATGGGTGGATTTTGGGCCAAAGGGATTGG